CTGGCTCATTTTTGCATGTTTGGTAGCGACAGGGTTTTGCCATGTTGCCTATGCTGGTCTCAAACTCCTGGGCTCAAGTGATCTGCTCACCTTGGCCTTCTAAAGTGCTGGGATTACAAGAGTGAGCCACTGCGCCCGGCCCTGAGTATTTTCATAGGTGCTTTCTGTCGTGGGGCACTGGGAGCCTTGGGGAGGGATGTGGCATAGGGAACCTGGTGCCCTGGACATAGGGCATGGCTATCATGCCTTCCCTTGGTTTCCTACAAATCTGACCGCAGCCTCCCCAGCCAGCCCCTTCCTGAACTTGGGGCTGGCAGGGGACAGAGACCAGGGGCAGGGCCTGGGCCAGGCTCCACTCAGGCCTCTGCCCTCCCCTACAACAGGGAGGAGAAAGTGAGGCTGTCCGTGTCCCGGGCCCCAAGCTGTCTCCAGGCCTCTGTGGCCCAGGAGGAGCGTGAGTGGTGGCTGGGTCCTAGCTCAGCTCGCTGGGTCATGGTCCCCATTGGCTCAAGAAAGGAGAGGGTCTGGGCATTAAGATCTCAGAAGTCAGCCTGGGTGCAGCTCACACCTGTAATCCCAGCAGTTAGGGAGGCCAAGACAGGAGGATCGCTTGAGCTCAGGAGTTCGAGACCAGCCTGGGCAACATAGTGAGAACCCCGTCTCTACTTCAAAAAAAAAAGCCTGGTGGGGTGATGCACTCCTGTGTCCCAGCTGCTGGGAGCAAGCTGTGACAGTGCCACTGCACTCCTGCCTCAGTGACTGAGATGCTGTCTCAAAAACAAAAAGGCTCAGGAAACCCTGTCAGGACTGCATGGCATCCCTCACTGCCTGCCATGTCAGGGGAGGCTGCTGGGAAGGGTACAGAACAGGGGGCTTCAGGTGGCTCAGCAGGTTGACTGAGGTGGTGCAGCTCCAGGTTCTCAAGTCCTAGGGCTTTGAGGCTTGGCCTGGGGCAGCGGGGAGCTCCAGAAAGCGGTGGAGGAGGAGGAGTGGGCAGCTGGAAACATCATGGGTGCAGCAGCAGGTCCCCTTCTGGCTCCAGGGGGCAGAGAAGAGTGTGGTGCTGTGGGCGTGTGCCCACGGGTGGACAGCGGAGACGGAGATCCTGTTCCGGGATGGCAGGCAGCCCTTCCAGCCCCTGGGACGCCTGACACTGCAGGCTGCCAACCACAGCCTCCTGCTGCTGTGCATGGCTGCCAGGGCGCCTGCTGGGCCACGTGGAGGTGAATGGGCCTGGGCCGAGACCACCGTGCCAGGAGCCCCGAGCCCTTGAGGTCCATCTGTGCCCAGAAACCAGAGCAGATGGCCCCGGGGTGCGGCCCGCACCTGCCACTGCCACTGAGACGGTTTGTCTATTTCATTCCTGCGTGGCCCCCAGGGAGTCCCAGCCTCTTCTCCGTCCTCACAGTCCAGGACCGCAGCAGCTGCCTCTCAGGTGCAAGCCCGGCTGGAAGACAAGGTGCAAGGCTTGGGTGCCTCTGTGAGAAGGTTCCAGCACCTGGTGGATAGCACGGGGGAGGGTTGGGTGGAGAGCTCCCCCTCTGGCCTGGCCTGTAGCCCCCACTTGCCAGGCATCCCCTTCTGGGCTGGAGGGTCTGGGGCTCTCTGCCCTGGATCTCACTCTGATTCTGCCTCGGTTTCCCTGTCCAGGTACAACCGGCAGGCACCCTGGATGGTGTGGCAGGCCGCCTCCTGCGACTGTCCCAGGCAGGGCTGGAGGCCGTGCAGGTGAGTGGTCGGACGGTCACCACCTTGTGGGGCCAGAGCCAGGCCAGGCAGGCACTGACCCAGCACCTGCCTCTTTGCCTGAACCAGTTGCAGGTGGGGCTGGAGCAGCTGCGGAAGGAGCTGGAATGTGAGGCGGGGAGGGAGGGCTCAACCCTGCACCAAAATCCACGCCCAGCCCGGGGCCCTAAGCCCTCACCTTGGCCTTTGGCACTGTCAATCAGAATGGTGGCCTTGCTTCCTGTGGGCCTGCAGCCCAGCTGTGTTGAAACCCCAGCCTTATTTCTTATAGACCTACAGCCTTGAGGTTTTTTTTTTCTTTTCTTTGAGATGGAGTCTCACTCTCTTGCCCAAGCTAGAGTGCTGTGGCATGAATCTGGCTCACTGCAACCTCTGCCTCCCGAGTTCAAGCGATACCCCTGTCTCAGCCTCCCAAGTAGCTGGGACTACAGGCGTGTGCCACCATGCCCAGTTAATTTTTCTATTTTTAGTAGAGATGGAGTTTCACCATGTTGGCCAGGATGGTCTCGATCTCTTGACCTCATGATCTGCCCGCCTTAGCCTCCCAAAGTGCTGGGATTACAGGCGTGAGCCACCGCGCCCGGCCCAACCTTCGTTTTTTTTATTGTCTGCTGTCTCATTCTTACAGGGTCTCCAAGCTCATGTCCCTTATGCCTGCTGCCTAGGTTTCTTCCGCCTGCTTTCTTTTGAGTATACAGCCTTGTTTCTGTGACGCTCACTGCCACAGGGCCTCTTTCTGGCTCCATGATGAGCTCTCTGTGGCCGTGTGGCCGTTAAACGCTCACAGCTGCTGCCGCAACCGTCCTCCTGGCAGGACTAGGACCTTCTGGCCTCTCCACCATCCAGGGCTAATGCCCAGCCCAGCACAGAGCCCCCAAGACCCTGCCCAGCGCCAGGGTGGGCGTCCCTCTGACTGGCTGTTGAATGTCACCTCCGCGTCCTCTGCTGTGCCAGAGTCCCATTTGGGCAGTGAACTGGGAGGGGTGCTGCAGGACGCGGCACCCTGTGCTGTGCGTGCTGTGGTTGATGACAGCAGGAGGCAGGGGCCAGGGCGGAGTCCAGGGGGAACCAGGGCCAGCACCCCGTGTCTTCTCCCAGTGCGGATGCACTTGGCTGTCCCAGCAGTATGTCACCCAGCGTGTTTAGTGGGGCTGCCACATTGGCAGGTGCTGCTTGGCGCGGCCCACACTGTCAGACTCCTAGGAGGCAAGCGGGGGTCCAGCATAAACCATGTCTGTGCGAACAGTTCAGGTGCAGAGAGCCTCGTATCACTTCTAGGAGTGGTGGGAACCCTCCCCCAATCCAAGTTCCCAGACAACCTATGAGCAGGCCATGCAGAGGCGGCTCGGGTCTGCTGTGACAACTCGCCTGCAATCTCCAGTGCCTGCTGCTCTATTCCTTTTCCCCCACTGCCCCCATCTTAATCCCAAGAACAGGCCTTGTCTCTTTGAGGCCTCGGAGCTGCCCAGAGGCCTCATGGTGGGTGGTGGCTGCCCGTTGCAGGGCCCCTGGCCACACTGAAGGACGCCTACCTGGAGGTGACGCTGTGGCCCCTGGAGATGTGGCGGGAGCGGGCAGAGGAGGCCATCTGCAGGCCTGGGTGCCCAGGGTTGCCAGGCAACGGGGGGGGGGTCCCAGGCCCATCAGGGCGGCCCTAGGGGCTGTGAAAGGTGCTCTGGAGCTGGTGAGAGCAAGGATGGGGCGTGGCTGGCAGTTGAGGACAACCGAGACCGCTCTCACTGTCCCCTCCCTCTCAAGGTGGCCCACTGCATGCTGTCCTGGACTGAGGCCATGTTCCCATGGGCACTGAAGAGGCTCTGCAGACTCCTGCTGGACTTGTACGGCTTCACAGCCAGGTAACGCAGGGTTGGGAGTGGCGCGGCCGGCGTTCCTGCCACGTATCAGGCGCAGTGCTGAATGCTTCCACACGCTCTGACCCACTGACTCCTCTGACCGCGCTGCACAGAGGCTTCTTCACTCCCCATTTCACAGAAGAGGAAGCTGAGGTTTCTCCCTCATTCCACAGAGACCTCGTGAGCACAGCCCCAGTGCAGGCAGGATTTTAGGAGCTGCTGCAGAGGAGCGCAGTGGGCGAGGCTGACCCCTGCCTTCAGGAAGCTCAGTTTTACTTAGACGTGAAGCACAAGAAAACGTCTACAGCAGGGTGTGCACCGCTCCCTGCAGAGAGCCTGAGAGTCACCTCTTAAGCAGGCCATTCCGCTCTGTCACATTTTCTTGGTTTTGTAATTTTTTTTTTTGAGATGGAGTCTCGCTCCGCCGCCCAGGCTGGAGTGCAGTGGTGTGGTCTCGGCTCACCGCAACCTCCGCCTCCTGGGTACCTGCGATTCTCCTGCCTCAGCCTTCCGAAGAGCTGAGATTACAGGCACATGCACTACCACACCTGGCTAATTTTTTGCATTTTTAGTAGAGACAGGGTTTTGCCACTCCAGGCTGGTCTCAAACTCCTACCTTAGGTGATGCACCCCATTGGCCTTCCAAAGTGTTTGGATTACAGGCGCGAGCTGCCACAACTGGTCTGTTTTGTAATTTTTTTTTTTTTTTTGAGACGGAGTTTCGCTCTTGTTACCCAGGCTGGAGTACAATGGCGCGATCTCGGCTCACCTCAACCTCCGCCTCCTGGGTTCAGGCAATTCTCCTGCCTCAGCCTCCTGAGTAGCTGGGATTACAGGCACGTGCCACCGTGCCCAGCTGATTTTTTGCATTTTTAGTAGAGATGGGGTTTCACCTTGTTGACCAGGATGGTCTCGATCTCTTGACCTCGTGATCCACCCGCCTCGGCCTCCCAAAGTGCTGGGATTATAGGTGTGAGCCACTGCGCTCAGCCTTTTTGTAATCTTTTAAACACACAGAAGCCCTTCTTTCTTGGAGGCCGTGCAGAAGCCAGCTGCATGCGGGGTGTGCCCCACTGCTCATCATTTCCTACCACTGAGCCATACATCAGTAGCAAATGCTCGAGAAGGAGCACTGGGGACATGGTGGGCGGGCGGATTGTATGGTGTGGCCGTGGCAGGCTTTGAGAAGGCACAGTTCGAGCAAGAGCCGTGGGGCCAGCGTGGGAACAGAGCTCCAGGTGGGGGCACCACTGCACAGAGGCCTGGGAGAGCGATGTGCCTGGCCTGTTTGTTTTTGAAATGGAGCCTCGTTCTCTGTCACCCAGGCTGGAGTGCAGTGGTGTGACCTCAGCTCCCTGCAACCTGTCTCTCAAAGTCAAGTGATTCTCCTGCCTCAGCCTCCCACGTGGCTGGGATCACAGGTATGCGCCACCCTACCCAGCTACTTTTTGTATTTTTAGTAGAGATGGGGTTTCACCAGATTAGCCAGGCTGGTCTCAGACTCCTGAGCTCCAGAGACTCAGCCTTTGAAAGTGCTGGGATTATGAGCATGAGCCACCGTGCCTGGCCTGTTTGAATATCAAGCTGGCGGGGCTGAAGCATACTGTGAGTAAGGGAGAGTGGATCCAATTGGAAGGGACTGGGAGGTCCCGCGGCTGGGGAGTTGGGGCGAGGGCTGTGGCTTCTACGCTGACCTAGGAAGGACGTCATCACCCTTTCACTTCAGAGGTCCCTTTGTTCCTTGTGTTGAGAACACAGGGCTGGTGGATAGAAGTGGGGCACCCAGTCTGGAGCAGGGGCCTGGGGACCCAGTATCCATTTCCCTCCCTGGCACGAGGCCCGCCAGGAACCCGGCTCCAGGCAGGGGGGCAGCTCCCTTCTTCCACACTGCTGGCCTTGCAGAGTGTCTGGACTCCAGCTGTGCCACTAACTAGGATTCCTCTGCATCGGCTCTGTATGCCTCAGTTTCCCCAGCTATAGAATAGGGACTAAACCTGCATCATGGGGAAAAGGCTCCATGTGATACAAGTTCCTGCTCCTGCCTTCTTGCAGTCAGAATGCAGGCTGAGGAATGGAAGCGCTCCCCAGGCCGGGCTTTGGCTTGGTTGAAGAATCGCCTGCCTGGTTATTAGCCTACCTGGTGAGTGGGGGATCTGGTGGGGGTGCCAAAAAACTGGATTTACCTGGCAGGGAGGGGTTCAGGCTGCTTCCTGCCCCCAGATGCAGGGCCTCTGGGCTCCCTAGAAGGTGAGTGAGGCCACCTGCCCCTGTACCCCCTCCACCGGCCCATCAACAACAGCGTATGCAATGTTCCTCTTCCCACTCCACCCCCACATGAGCCGAGATCTCCCTGATCATTCAGATCCCACAGGCTTGACCCTGCTCTACATATTGAGAAAGTTCCAGTCTTCCTCTCAACTGTAGCCGTTTTCTAGACCTGTTGGTTGGGCATAGTGGCTCACACCTGTAATCCCAGCACTTCGGGAGGTCGAGGTGGGCAGATCATTTGAGGTCGGGAGTTTGAGACCAGCCTGGCCAACATGGTGAAACCCTGACTCCACTAAAAATACAAAAATTAGCTGGGCATGGCAGTGAGTACCTGTAGTTCCAGCTACTCTGGAGGCTGAGACAGGAGAATCGCTTAAACCCAAGAGGCAGAGGTCACAGTGAGTCGAGAGCGTACCACTATACTCCAGCCTGAAAGACAGAATGAGATTGTCTCACCAAACACAACAATTTCCTAGACCTTCCAGCTCCTGTCCTCAACATCCCCACACACAGGCCCCATCCTGCCCAAGACCCAGGGGGCACAGCAGGCATGACCTCAGACACCTGTGTCCTCAAAATGGGGCAGCTTGTTTCTGTCCCGGCCTCGCCTCCACCTCCGCTGTCATGCTGGCCTCTGTCCTCCTCCACCTCATCATGGGATTTCCTAGAACAAGGACAGCCCCTCCCCGAGAGGCACCCCCATGCTCTCCACTGCAGAGCTCTACCTGCGGACCTGTGAGCTCCCCGTCTGCAGCCCAGGGAAGCAAGGCTCAGCCAGGCACAGCAACTTGACCTGTCCATTCCCTCTAGGAACTACTCAGGGGTGGTGGTGCTGCTGCTGCCTGGGGGAGACGAGCCCCGGACGTGGCCTGGGTGAGCAGCTACCTGGTGGAGAAGCTGCTGTGGCCGCTCCGAGAGCTGGCCAGGGCCAACGTGCTGGCCGAGTTCTACCAGCTCAGACACCACCTGCTACAAGGTCCCCGGGAAAGTGAGTCCTGCCCCGGGCTGTGCTGCCCTCCTCCCTGGGAGCCCCCTGCCCTGTGGGCACAGCAGCAGGGTCATGCAGGGGCAGGTACTGTGGGGGCATCACAGTGCCGGGCGCAGAGCTTACTGGACTTCCCAGGTCCTGTGGGACTAGGGCTGAGGCTGCACATCCTGCTTTTGTCCAGAATACAAGGCCTGGCCCAGCCGAGGAGTATGGTGGGTGGTTTAGGGCTTCAGGCCCGCTCCCTCCCTGTGGGCTCTGCTGGAGCAGCAGGCAGACCTCCCATTACCGCTGGAAGGGCACTAATTGAGTTCAGACTCACAGGTCAGGGGCGATCTGGTGCTGGGATGACGGGCTCTGGGCTCCCGGGGAGCTTGCGTGTGGCTCAGGTGAGTCTGCTAACCTCTGGACTCGGCTTCCTCCACTGTCAAATGCAGGTAACCACGTGGCTCGCTCACAGGGGTAAGGGGCATGTACGGTTCTTAATGCACGAGGGAGCCCCTCATGTCCGTGGGGGAGCCACAGTACCCAGGCCTGGCAGTGTGGTTTATCAGTGTGTGACTCACATGGGGGACTAGGGCTCCCTAGAAGCGTGGGTGCAGTCATGTCTAAGCAGCACGCTGATGCTGTGGAAAACAGCCTGGTCTTCAAGTTGTGTGTGTGTGACCGTGGGCTGCTTTGTGCCCCTCAGTTCTGATAGCTGACCACGCGACTGGTAGTGCCTCCCACAGGACGCTGGCCCTGGCCAACAGGTGTCTCGCTGTGCACAGTGGATGGTGCTTTCCCGCCACGGGCAGGAGCACCCCCAAGGCACAACTCAGGGGCCACGCTGGCTGGACTGGTCACACCTGCTCCTTCACAGGCCATCTCTTCCCGACCCTGAAGAGGGCAGGTCTGCAGGACGCCGCTGTCATGTTTTTTTTTTTTTGAGACTGGGTCTCACTCTTGTCATGGTTGGAGTGCAGTGGTGTGATCTTGGCTTCCTGCACCCTTGACCTCCTGGGTTCAAGTGAGTGATCCTCCTGCCTCAGCCCCGCAAAGCGCTGGGATGGCTTAGCCCCACCATGCCCAGCCGATCTGTGCATTTTAAGTGCATGATTGAGGGACTTCTGGTTTATTCAGAGTTGTGCATGCCTCACTACAATTGATTTTAAAACGTTTTTATCATCCTCAAATGAAACCCTGCAGCTGCCCATCTGCCTGCTGTGTCCATGGCTGTGCCTGCTTGGGATGTCTGATGTAAGTGGAAGCAGAGAACATGGCCTCTGGGCCAGGCTTTGTTACTTAGCACAGCAGTTTTGCAGTCGGTCTCAGGTCTCCATTCCTCGTTAGGGCTGAATTGGCCTTGAACCTGGTGGGGAATCGCTGGGCCTGTGGCTGCTGCACAGGCGGAGGATACTCCTGGCCTCAGGGCAGGCTAAGCCTGGGCTCTAGGCATCAGGGTGCCCAGCAGGCATTGGGCTCCCACTGCGGTGGGTGGAGCTGGCTCCACCCACCCTGCCTTTGGGGCTGCTCCTCCCCAGACCATGCCCTGGGGGCCAGGGCCCAGCACGTGGTGGCCTTCAACGGCCAGGTGTGGGACCTCAGTGTCCAGTGCAGCAGCATCCTCCTGGCCCAAGACTTGGCTCAACACATTCTCCCTGATGCTGAGTCGGACAGGCTTGGGGCTCACAGCCCTGACTGTGGAGCTGAACCACATGACCCTCATCTTCTACCCAGCCTGCAGGTAAGGAGGAGAAGCCCGAGCTTCCCCTGCAGATGTGTGCCTGTAGCAGGTCACCTGGGGGGACGGTACTTTCAAGCTTGTCCCCTGGCTGTGGGTCAGCCCTCCTGCTGCCTCCTGCCGTGACAAGGAGGGATGTCCCCAGGATTGAGCGGGCCAGTGAGGACAGGGCACCATCTCCTGTGACATGCCCACCTGCCTCTGCAGCCTGACCCTGGGCCTCGGGCACCACGGTGAGTCTGGGCCCCAGAGGGGTTGGCCCCACGGCCAAGAGCCTCTGTGGGATGCACCATTCTCAGCTTCCAGTGCGGCAGGTCCCCGGGCTGTAGGCAGTGACTGTCGTTGAGATGATGGCACTAAGGCCCAGGGCTTTCTGCCTCCATCCCGGGGATATGCGGCTCCAGGGTGGGGTTGGCCCTCTGCCAGGGAACACAAAGGAAGGACCTGGATTCCGGCCACTCAAGCTGAGGACATGGGGACGGGTTGGGGGGACACACGCTGTCCTCAGTCCCTGTGCTTTCTCTCCCTCCTCTGATGAGGGTTTAGAGCCAGGGCCCTGGGCTCTGGGAGTCTGGGGTGGAGGGGGCGGGATTCTACCACTCCTCGGTGTGCCTCAGGCTAATCTCTCATACAGGTCCCCTGGGAGAGGATCACGGGCTCTCACAACCTCCTCCACTTCCCTCCTCCCATGGGCATATCTGCCAGCCTTCTGGGCACTAACGCCAATGAAGCAGGCAGGGAGCTGATGTTGCTGGAGGGCTCTGTGGCCCACAGCCTGGAGGGCTGCTCACTGCAGAGTCCCAGAAGAGGCAGGTGGCCTGCTGGCCCTGCAGAGGACTTTGCAGGCCCAGGGTTTGGAGGAGTCTCCTGCTGAGGCTGCTGTATGTGGGAGAGCCACATGGTCCAGCGGGAGGTCTGAGCTGTGTGTGCCCTGCCAGGTGGATGGTGACTACAGGGCCACCAAGAAGACTCAGCCGGCCTGCCCAGGACAGAGCCCGCCTGCCGGGCCTTCTTCCGGGACCCCTGCTCCAGCTTGGGGAACTGCTTCTGGGTGGTGAGTGTGAGCCTGGCCCCTGGGGCACAGAAAGCCCTTTCCCCTTTCTCTCTCTCTCGTGCTGTGTTTAACAGCCTGTAGAACTGGGAGTCAGTTCTCTCTCTTATTTATGAACTGCCCAGGCTGGAGTGCAGTGGCGCTATCTTGCCTCACTGCAACTTCTCTCTCCCAGGTTCAAGCAATCCTCCTGCCTCAGCCTCCCAAAAATACAGGCATATATTTTTGGAGAGATGGGGTTTTGCTGTGTTGGCCGGGCTGGTCATGAATTCCTGACCTCAGGTGATCCGCCGGCCTTGGCCTCCCAAAGTGCTGGGATAACCGCTGTGAGCCACCGCGCCCAGCCTCACTAGGGATTTGAAGGTCCACCACTGTTCAGGGAAAACGCTCAGCCCCTGTTTTCTCTCTGCTCTCATACCGCAACAATCATCATCAACACGGAAGATCAATTCTGTGAGCAGATGTGTGGGGGTTTGTCCCCACTACCAGGGTGGACCTCGAATTCAGTTCTAACACTAGCTACACCTTGAGGCAGCAGCAGAGCCTGCATGGTGAGAGATTCTTCAGCCAGTGCTGCATATGAATGCCACAGCCAAACGCCCACTGAAAGGGTCAACAGCAGAAGAGGGAATTAATCGATTGGAAAATATGACAAAGGGCGGATGAAATGAGGGAATCCCACATGTCTCAAACTCCAGGCCCGGTGTGGTGGCTCATCCCTGTAATCCCAGCACTTTGGGAGGCCAAGATGAGTGGATCACCTAAGGTCAGGAGTTCAAGACCAGCCTGACCAACATGGTGAAACTCCGTCTCTCCTAAAAATACAGAAATTAGCCGGGCGTGGTGGTGTGCGCCTGTGATCCCAGCTACGCAGGAGGCTGAGGCAAGAGAAGTGCTTGGACACAGGAGGTGGAGGTTACAGTGAGCCGAGATCTCGCCACTGCACTCCAGCCTGGTGACAGAGTGAGAGTTGGTCTCAAAAAAAAAAAAAAAAAAAAAAAAAAAAAAATTCCAGAATGAAAACAGACAGGACCCAGGACCCTTTAGAGTCAGGAGGCACAACCCCCAGTACAATAAATCCATCCATACCTAGTCCCATCAAAATTAAATTGTAGAAAAGACAAAAGGTCCTAAAAGCTACTGAGGAGGGTGGAGAAAAGGAAGAACATGTTGACAATTGCTTTCCCACCAGCAGCAAAGGGAAGACGGTGGAGTAAGAGCAAGTAAGCATGAGGTGAGAGTTCATACCCAGCTCAACTATTACTTAATGAAATAACCTCTCAGCACTAATCTGTCTAGAGATCTCTTTACCACAAATGGACACTTACTCAAGGGACACACCCACATGTTCATTTACATGCTGTCTGTGTCCACTTTCCTGCTACAGCGGCAGAGTATCTGCAAGGGAGACCACATCTTTGCTCTCTGAAAGACTTCATTAGGAAGATGGAAAGATAAGCTACAGGTTGGGAAAAACATTTACAAACCACCTATCAGACCAAGGACTCATCTCCAGAGACTCATTTCTAGAATATATAAAGAACTCAAAGCTCAAAAGTAGGCCAGGGGCAGTGGCTCATGCTTGTATTCCTAGCACTTTGGGAGGCTGAGGCGAGACGGTTTGAACCCGGGAAGTCAAGGCTGCAGTGAGCCATGATCACACTCCTGGCTGCATGACACTGTGAGACCTCATCTCACAGAACAAAACCTCCAAAGTAAAAAATGGGAAATAAACACATGAACAATGTTTGCACACCCAGCCATAGAGAAACAAGATAGTGTCACACACCTGAGCTCCAGTGAGTCCCGGCATGGGTGGGTGAGTTCCAGGGACCGCAGTATAAAGCATTAGTTGAACATCCAAATGGCCAGGTTGTGATTTCGGCATCCACTGATGAGTGCACTATAGAAAGCATTGTTCTAGTACCAAAAGGGTGGTGGCTGCTGAGAATCAAGTGAGGCTTAGAGGCAGGAATCAACGTCACGGTCTACCAAGCAGATCCGCGCGGGAAGCCGCCTTGGACTCACGAAGTGCTAAGACAGCAGGTGGTGTGGCTCGATGGGGAGCTCGGAGAATCTGGGAATCAAGCAGAAGCACCCGTTCTGACCGTGTAAATACAAAACTGTCAGCTACTACAGCCACCAACAGAACAACTGGGAGGACAAGCAGCCCAAAATTTATAGCCACAGGGCGACAATGGAGTATTCTCTGCAGTTACGGGCCTCTCCCTTCTTTTTCGGGTTTATTTTTTGTTGTTTTTGTTTTTGAGATGGAGTCTTGCTCTGTCACTCAGGCTGGACTGCAGTGGCACAGTCTCGGCTCACTGCAACCTCCGTCTCCCGAGCAGCTGGGATTACAGGTGCGTGCCACCATGCCCAGCTAATTTTTTTGTGTTTTAAGTGGAGACAGGGTTTCACCTTATTGACCAGGATGGTCTCAAACAAACATCAGACCTCATGGTCCGCCTGCCTCGGCCTCGCAAAGTGCTGGGATTACAGGTGTGAGCCACCGTGTCCGGCTGGATTTTTTTTTTTTTTTTTTTTTATTCAAGGGCTAAATTCTTCCCCTCTCTTGGACACCAGTGAAGTATTTACAAAAAGCAGTCACCAATTACAGTTAAATTTTGAAGGACAAATTAAAAGGTGGTTTTAAGTGACAAAATAAAGTTACAAAATAATAAAAAGTGTCTTAATTCCTTCCTCTTTTTTATCTTTTTGAGACAGGGTCCTGCTCTGTCCTCCAGACTGGAGTACAGTGGTGCAGCCTCCCAAGTAGCTAGGAGTACAGGCGTCTGCCACCACGTGTTTATATTTTTAGTAGAGACGGAGTTTCACCATGTAGGCCAGGCTGGTCTTGAACTCCTGAACTCATGTGATCCTCCCACCTCACACCCGACCAGAGAAATTAAGACATTCTCAGATAAACAAAAGCTGAGAGACTTCATTACATTGGGACCTGCCCTGCAAGAAATGCTAAAGGGAGTCCTTCAAGCCAAAAGAAAAGGACGCTAGGTCGACATTTGAAGCCACATATCAAGACCTGTGTTTTAGGAATTTTGATTCATACCTGATTATTTTATTGGATTTTAAAGAGATGTGTAACCCTAAGTCTGTGTTAAATATATAACTTATTTTTCAAAAATTAGGCATGGTGGCATGCCCC